GGCGCTATGTTCTGGAGCGATGCGGGTGGCACTGTGAGTTAAACCACAGAGCCTAGGGCTTGCCGATCAGAAGGTCGGTGGTTCGAATACCCGCAACAGGGTGAGCTCCTGTTGATCATTCCCTACTCCTGCCAACCTAGCAGTTCGAAAGCACGTCAAAGTGCAAGTAGATAAATAGGTACCGCTCCGGCGGGAAGGTAAACAGCATTTCCGTGCGCTGCTCTGCTTCGCCAGAGGCGGCTTCGTCATGCTGGCCACATGACCCAGAAGCTGTACGCCGGCTCCCTCGGCCAGTAAAGTGAGATGAGCGCCGCAACCCCCGAGTCGTCCGTGACTGGACCTAATGGTCAGGGGTCCCTTTACCTTTTTAGTACATGTAGAAGGAACCAATCCTGCAGGATGAGGTCCCAAGCCATGAAGGGTGCTGAAGGTCAAAAGCAACATCTTGAATTGAGCCTGGAAAAGGACTGGGAGCCAGTGAAGGTGATGAAACCCTGGTGTAATGTATTCATACCGACAAGTGCCAATATAAAAAATTTGAAATTACTTGAAAGTACCAAATAGGCCTAGGACTAAATTAGGATTTAATTAAATAAATGGGATTTAGAACAGTAAGAAAAGTGAATAAATTTGATTATAATTGGAATATTGTTGTTTAATAATGATATTGGAAAGCTGTTACATTCAGATACAAGGAAACTCAGAAAGGAGGGACTAGAGGAAGTCAATTAATATGTTCATAAGGTTGGATTTTTAAAACAATTAAGTTCGTTCTTATTGTTTGTTTGTCTTTTTTCTTTGATGTATTTTTTTGTTGTTGTTGTTCTGGTCTGTCCTACGGTTGTGCAATGTTTGTTGCAATATTTGTTACAATTGTGGAAAATTTAATAAAAATTATTGGGGGGGGGGGGATACCGACCAGTGCCAATCACTAACCTTGCACCCACGTTCTGGACTTATCAACGGTTCCACACCATTTTCAAAGGTAATCCCATGTACTACGTATCACAATACAGTGGTACCTTGGTTCTCGAACGCCTTGGTACTCGTACGTTTTGGCTCCTGAATGCCGCAAACCCGGAAGTGTTCCGGTTTGCGAATGTTTTTTGAGTGCAGGAAGTTCCTGCATCCAATCGGAAGTCGTGCCTTCGTTTTCAAACATTTTCAGAAGTCAAACGGACTTCCGGAACGGATTACATTCGAGAATCAAGGTATGGCTGTACAAGAGAATCCCCACTTACATGGGGGTTCTGTTCCCCCATGTAAACTAAGGCCCGGGGGCCGGATCCGGCCCAATCACCTTCTAAATCCGGCCCACGGATGGTTTGGGAATCAGCATGTTTTTACATGAGTAGAAAGTGTCCTTTTATTTACAATGCATCTCTGGGTTATTTGTGGGGCCTGCCTGGTGTTTTTACATGAGTAGAATGTGTGCTTTTATTAAAATGCATCTCTGGGTTATTTGTGGGACATAGGAATGCATTCATATTTTTTTTCAAAATATAATCCGGCCCCCCACAAGGTCTAAGGGACAGTGGACTGGCCCCTGGCTGAAAAAGTTTGCTGAACCCTGTCCTAGGGTATTACCTAGATTCAATGCAAAAACCGAAGGAAAATTTTGTTACCTTACAGCCTTTTATTTTCTTTTCATTTCTTTTCTTGCTTCAATAATAATTACAGGTGTTTACAGCTCCTGTTGAAGGAGTTTTAAGCCTGAGCTAAATAAGCATCTCATTCCAGTAAAGACTGGGGTTTGCCTGTGGACAACTGAAGCAAAGCTACTACAGCTATAGGCAGTAGGCGCTGATGAGGCTGTGCTTTGCTTTCCTGGCCTCCCAACGTTACCAAATGGGAGAAGGGGAGTGGCAAGGTGGTAGAGACTCAGCGTGGATACGAGTGTAGCAGCGGAGCCACTCTAAAGCTCTCAATACTGCACTCACACTGTGACAAGCTCCCTGATGCCTCGGCTGCCCTCCTCCTGGTAATTGGCAGCGGAACTTAGCATTGGGAAGCCAGGAGAGCAATGCAACAACACTGTTACCGCACAGCCAACCTCTACTGGTTGTGGAGCTCTCATCCACAGAGGCCACTTGTGGTTCTAGTGTCAAAGGTGGTTCAAGATCAATACTTTGGGGCACAGGTAGATAACCTGTGGCTCAGGGACTCTATGTGAATCTAACCTTATGAGAGCTGGACCATAAAGAAGGCTAAACGACTAAACGACTAAACAACAAGAAACCTTATATTATGCTTTCTTCCCCATGGATCTTGAAGCTGCCTGATTAGGCCATCCCATCAGTTCCTTCTTTCCTGTTTGCTTCTTCATCCCCCGCCCCGGCTTTTAAGCATGGTTTGCCCATCTTTAGGTTTTTTTTAATGTTTGTATTTACTTTTACCTCTTTGCAATGCTTGAGAAAAAGGTCTTTCCTCCAGCTGTCCAAGAACAAATAGGTAGCTTGTGTGTGCATAGGAGTTGCTTTCATTTGCTTTCCAGAACAGTAGCTTGGTTGAATCCTCATCCACTGAAAGTAACTCAGTGGGGCTTACTTCTAAGTAGCCTGCATGGAATTAAGAATTCTAATCTGAGGTAGCCATGTCGAAACTGAAGCAGGGTCGGTCTTTATTCCATTTAGTGAATCTAGAGCACTTTGATCTCTGGATCTATCCATTGATGGTACTGGCTACACCCACCGGCAACAGGTCCACCCAACAGAATACCTTCGGAGGAATGCTGCCCTCAATAAGAAAAGAAGGTTGACTGCTTTAGTTGGAGCACAAATTTAACACCACTCTGCTGGGCATATGAACTACCTACTAACTGCACCTCTGTCTTGACTGGATTTAGCTTCAGTTGGTTGTCCTTCATCCAGTCCATCAACACTTTCAGCCATAGTTTAGCACTCCAAGGCCTCTTTCAAAGTTGATCTGCAAGAGAAATAGAGTTGGGTGTCACCCGCCAACCGGTCACATCTTACTCCAAATCTTTGGATTACCTCACTGAGCAGTTTCATGCACATTTTAGAAGCATGGGGGAGAGAGCACTGCAGGACCCTGAAGCATGAATGTCAAAGAGTCAAGCGGAAACCTCCCAGCATCCAGGGTATGAGTGGAACTACTGAAAAGCTAAACTCCCAACCGCCCATACTGACAGCTAAAGAATGCCATGGTCAAGGTTGTCCCACAGGGGAACCAAGGTAATTTCCATGCCAAAATCCACTGGGAGCTGTCATTAGGGGATTTGGAGTGTAGTGCTATCAACATGCTGATGACACACAGCTCTGTTTCTCTGTTAAATCTGAATCAGGTTTTGCCATTCAAGCCCTGGAACGGTGCCTGGAAACAGTGGTGGACTGGATGAGGGCCAACTAGCTGAATCCTGATCGCACAGAGGCCCCATGGATGGGTGACTCGCAGGTCTGGGAACTGGGTTGGTTTCCTGTTCTGGTTGGGGATGCACTCCTCTGAAGGAACAAGCACATGTTCTAGGGGTGCGTCTTCATCCCACATAGATTGGTGGCCAGGGTGACTAACAGCACACTTTATCAGCTTCAGCCAATCCTGGACAGGGATGCCCTAGCCACAATTATCCATGCACTATTAACCTCAGGATTGGTTTGCTGTAATGTACCCTACGTGGAGCTGCCCTTAAAACTGGCCCAGAATCTGCAGCAGTTAAGCGTCTTATTGGAGCTATGACTCCCATGAGGATGTAACACTGCTTCTAAAAGAACAGCACTACCTGCCAATTTGCCACTGGGCCAGGTTTTGGTGTTGACATAAGCTTCTAAACAACTTGGGACCAGTTTCCCTGAGGGAACACCTCCTGTATCGTTAAGATGTTCAGATGAAGCTCTCCTTGCCGTGTGGCAGTCTGTTGAAGTCCAACATCGTGCTAAGATGATTGTTACATCAGGGCAAGGATCTTATTCGCTTTTCCTCTCCTGTGTGCTGGTCCAAGCCCACCCCAGAGCCAATTGCCGAGGCATGAGGGCATAGGTGGAGGAGAGGAAGGAAAGCCCTACTGAACTTCTGCTGACAGGACACATTTATTGGACTAGTTGTCCACATCTTCAGGCCTTGAAAACTGAACGTTATCAAATAAAATACAACTAGTCAGTGCCTTCAATAAATTCCCTGATTAGTTTGTATTACTCTTAGTATTCAGATTATGACAGATTTAAGTATCGAGGAAATGTGCCACTGTAGCAAATTGGTACAATAGGAGTAATGATCACAAGATTCATGTAGAGCCCTGATCCAGTGCTTTGGGAAACAGCCCCCCTCAGTTCAAGGCGCTGCAAAGGATGATCAATTCAGTCCAGGATCCACCAGAGTCCGTTTAGTTTCTCCTCGCTCCATCCACCATAAAGAAATTTTAACTTTTTTCCCTTTTCATAGAAGTGGATGAATTTTGCAGACATACTAGCTCCTCTAAAGTGTATTTGTTGTTGTTGTTTAGTCGTTTAGTCATGTCCGACTCTTCGTGACCCTATGGACCAGAGCATGCCAGGCACTCCTGTCTTCCACTGCCTCCCGCAGTTTGGTCAAACTCATGCTGGTAGCTTCGAGAACACTGTCCAACCATCTCGTCCTCTGTCGTCCCCTTCTCCTTGTGCCCTCCATCTTTCCCAACATCAGGGTCTTTTCCAGGGAGTCTTCTCTTCTCATGAGGTGGCCAAAGTATTGGAGCCTCAGCTTCAGGATCTGTCCTTCCAGTGAGCGCTCAGGGCTGATTTCCTTCAGAATGGAGAGGTTTGATCTTCCTGCAGTCCATGGGACTCTCAAGAGTTTCCTCCAGCACCAGAATTCAAAAGCATCAATTTTTCAGCTATCAGCCTTTTTTATGGTCCAGCTCTCACTTCCATACATCACTACTGGGGAAACTACTACTGGGAAACCATACTTTAACTATATGGACCTTTGTTGGCAAGGTGATGTCTCTGCTTTTTAAGATGTATATAGTGTATATATAGTGTGTATATATATATATATAGTGTGTATATATATATATAGTGTGTGTATATATATAGTGTGTGTGTGTATACACACACACACACACACACACACACACACACACACTATATATAGAGAGAGAGAGTATGTATATAGTGTATCATATATATAGTGTTCATAGCTGACCAAATGAAAGGCAACTAAGTCTAGAGATTGATTGATTGATTGATTGATTGATTGATTATTGTAATGGACGCCTTTAATTTATATGAAGTGTGTGTTTGTGTTGCAAAATTGGAAGGAATTTTCAGGCAACTTCAGCTCTTATCGAGGGCATGAAGCCTGACAAATTTCAGGAAAGCTCCAGAGGTTTTCTTCTGGAGGCAGCAGTTATCATTTGTGGGTGGGTGAAAAGAGACTCACTTAATGTGTCATTAAAGTTGATTTTGATGTGGAAAGAATGAAAAAGTATTCACCTTCCAGATAAACTCGTTCCTTTTGAGTACAAGCTATAACTGTCAATCATGAAGGGGCTCCCTTGCCCCTCCCCATCTGGACAGCTTTCTTGAACTAGAGACATAGGTTTTGAATTTGCAAAGCTGTTCTCCCTCCCGCTCCTCCCCCTCCTATTTATTTAACGAAGAGGCATAGTTGTGCTTTAATAGATAACTGCATCATTTTAAAGGCCTGGCACACTGAGGTGCCTGAAGCATTTCTGGGGTCCCTACTTTGTGCAGCCTTGCAAATATCCTACTTTAGTCCCTTTGAGACACCTCACTCCTTCCTAATTTGATGCACACCCTGTCAGTACGCCTTTGAGCCGAATATCCACACACCCTACTACTGAGGGTTCCTCAAAAGGTCCTACTGGTCCAGCTGGCAAAAGGCCCTTAGCCACTTGGAAAAACTGCTGTGGGAGACACTGAGAAGACTCAATTGTGGTGGAGAAAAAAATGCTTCACCACCACACAGAGTAAGGTCCGTAATGAGCTCTTACTTCTACTCATTTGTACTCATCACAAATCTTTCTCCACTTGCATTCTAGCCTGCTCCCAAAGAAATAATAGAACGGATTCCAATTTCAGTGGCAATTAGACATAAGCTAATCATTAATTCCCCATTTTCTCGTCTTGCGGTAGGAGGGATGGGTGAGGAATCTGGTGAGCCTTTGATCCAGAGCAGAAACACCTGATGCGATCTGCTCAGCCTGGTGCACAGATTGGGACAAGGGTCCATATAATTGCCAGAGACCCACACTCTTGCGGATTTGCATGAGAGGTGGTCTGAGGGCTGCCTGCCCGACTACACTTGCTGATTTTTAAAAAGCAATTTCAATAGAGCAAATACTCCTGCAAGTGAAAGGTCTTTATGCTGTCACTCTCAGTGGGAATTCTATGTATTTTATGTACATTTTATGTATTTTACGTTCAATTTCCCCTTAGAGTAGCAGGGTAAATTGAATGTAAAATATGGAAAGTGTACATAAAATAAATACATTTCCCCCTGAGAATGATGACATATCATCAGGACCTATCACTTGCAGAGGGACATGCTGCATTGATTCCAAGGTGTGTGTCAGCAGGAGACCCCAAACACCAGCAGCTGAAATTACTGTATTTAAAAGTGCAACAGACAGCCCTTGGATCACCTCAGACATACAGTGGTACCTCAGGTTAAGTACTTAATTGGTTCCGGAGGTCCGTACTTAACCTGAAACTGTTCTTAACCTAATGGGGCCTCCCACTGCTGCTGCGCCACCGGAGCACAATTTCTGTTCTCATCCTGAAGCAAAGTTCTTAACCCGAGGTACTATTTCTGGGTTAGCGGAGTCTGTAACCTGAAGTTATGTAACCCGAGGTACCACTGTACTTTATTTAAAAATCTGTGCAGATTTTTAAGGAAACAACAACAACAATGTATTCATCTCCTTCTACACAGTCATCTCAGGGCAATGGACAAGAAAATGGACAAGAATTGCCCCCTTTAAAAAATGGCATAGAAGTAGGACAGAAATAACTTTAGTCTCATCCCATTACAGAAGAAGCTGGCATTAAGCAAGCCTGGAGTAAATTACACCAACATAAATACACCAGATCCAAAGTCCATACAGGAGTGGGGCTACTGATGGCTGAGCTGGTCTAATCGTGGCAAAGAAAAAAACAAGCCTCTAAAATAGTGTTTGAGTTACACCACCCATTTTACTAGTTTAACTTATGTTAGGATGCCAGGTCACAGGACCAAGCAGAACAGGCATAGGAACAGCCTAAGTTCCCGCTCCCAGTCCTGGCCACTAATTCCCAGATGCCCCTTTTTCTCCCGCTTGGACTACTGTCAGTCAAGTTTACTGCTTATAGCCAAAGGCTGCTGCAATGTATACAATGTCATTCAATAAAATATATACTAATTTGATACAAAAACTTAAAACATTTACATTGTCAAAACATGACCTAATCTGCTTAGACTACTGCAATGCGCTCTACATGGGGCTACCTTTGAAGGTGACTCGGAAACTACAACTAATCCAGAATGTGGCAGCTGGACTGGTGACTGGGAGCGGCTGCCGAGACCGCATGACACTGGTCCTGAAAGACCTACAATGGCTCCCAGTACGTTTCCGAGCACGATTCAAAGTGTTGGTGCTGACCTTTAAACCCTTAAACGGCCTCAGTCCAGTATACCTGAAGGAGCATCTCCACCCCCATCGTTCAGCCCGGACACTGAGGTCCAGCACCGAGGGTCTTCTGGTGGTTCCCTCATTGCAAGAAGTGCAGTTACAGGGAACGAGGCAGAGGGCCGTCTCAGTAGTGGCTCCCGCCCTGTGGAACACCCTCCCACCAAATGTCAAAGGAAAAAACAACTACCAGGCTTTTAGGAGACATCTGAAGGCAGCCCTGTTTCGGGAAGGACTGTTATATTTTAATATTTTGTTGGAAGCCACCCAGAGTGGTTGGGGAAACCCAGCCAGATGGGCATGGTACAAAAAATAAATTATTATTATTATTATTATTATTCATTTCTTTTGCCACCTTAAGATCCACTGGATTCAGCTCAGTTGGAATGGTGAATATGGAAGTTTACGAAGGCAGAGGCTTGTTGCATCAGGAAAGCAACCTTTCCCATCCTAGCAAATATTGCTATAGAATACCTCCCTAACCATTCTTAACACCAACAGAGATGTTAATCAGGGTGGACTTCACCTAACTCAGCTGAGCTCATCCAGGTACTTAGTACAACACCAGGCCAGACAGGGGGGACAGTCAGAGTACTGCCATCAAGGGTGGAACATTGCCATTTCCCACTGAACATCAAATTGGCTCAGGCAGTTTGCATCTGATGTTGCTGCTGTTTTGACCACCCTGTTGCCTGGCAGTCTCCCTGACCAAAGGGGGTCTCTATTGGAAGACCCCCAGATGAGAGGGCAAAAACCCTCCACAAATCCATCAGGTGTCCTACTTCTGTTAGATTCAAACATTAAATGGCAGGTGAATATGCTGTCTTACATAGTAGCATCCATAAAGTTAAAGGTAAAGGGACTCCTGACCATTAGGTCCAGTCATGGCCGACTCTGGGGTTGCGGCGCTCATCTCGCTTTATTGGCCAAGGGAGCCAGCGTACAGCTTCCAGGTTATGTGGCCAGCATGACTAAGCCGCTTCTGGCCAACCAGAGCAGCGCACAGAAACGCAGTTTCCCTTCCCGCTGGAGCGGTGCCTATTTATCTACTTGCACTTTGACATGCTTTCAAACTGCTAGGTTGGCAGGATCAGGGACCAAGCAACGGGAGCACACCCCTTCGTGGGGATTCGAACTGCCGACCTTCTGATCGGCAAGTCCTAGGCTCTGTGGTTTACGTTAGAACCAACTTCTTATGTTCCAGGGGTGGGGAACCAAATGTTGTTGAACTCCAGTTCCCATAAGTTACTAGCTGGCATGGCCAACAGACAGGGAGTTGGAATCTAGAAACATCTGGTGGTCTGCAGGTTCCCCCACTCTGTTTCCATCATGTATGACTCTTCCATGCCAAGATATATTTTAACAGCACCCTAGCATTTGCAAGGATGGCACGGCTTGCTGGGGCAAAGTGGTCCAGCGGAACGTCAGAAGGAGAGGATCCTTGACAAACAACTAGCACAAGTATGCCAGTGTTTTCTTCTTCTTAAGCCTTTGCTTGGAGTTGCTATTGTTGTTGTTGTGTTGTATATCATCTCCCTGGGAATGTAAATCTCTGAAAACCTGCTTTTCAAGTTTCAGCTTTTAGCACAGTGAGGTTACGCTGATCCCCAGCTGTGCACAAAGCAGATAATGTCATAAGAAGCACACCGACAGTGATGTAGACTGCCAGTGTCTTAGTAGTGCTGATGCTTAGCAGTGCTTATCATGCGGTGCTGAGTGCAAAATCAAAGGATGACTTGCACGTAAGTCGTAAATTAACTGGTTCACACCAGTGTGGTATCAATTGACACCAGACCACTCTATGGTCTACCACGAGAGATTTCCATAGCATTTTGAGAGCAAAATCATGCTAATCCCTGCTGAAATTGATGCCCCAATTAGGTCAGATCTATTAGAGGTTCCTGGAGCATCAGCTACTTACAGCCGGATCAGTTTCGGCTCTTGAAGCCTGATGACATGGACAGGACACTATGAGGCAAACTATGTGCCCTCTCAGTCTCTACCCATCAAGGTTAGTGAAATTTAGGAGGAGACAATGGGCTGGATGAGTTCCAAGGAGTGATAAATGCTCTGTGTTTCATAGGAGAGGTTCTGCTGCTGGGTGCTGGCCTGCTGGTGCTGACCCACAACAGGGCCTTCTCAGTAATGGCCCCCTACTGATCCCCTCATATCTATCCCTCATTTTTAGCATTTAGGTGGAATTTTTAAACATTCCTGTCTAGCTAGGCATTTGGTGGCTGAAATATATTGTTTCTGGCAACTTTCAAATTAGTTTGCTATGAGGATATTTGGTGGTTTTAACCACCTTTATTTTGTTTTTGCTGTTCTGTTGTTCCATTAACAAGAAGAAGAAGAAGAAGAAGAAGAAGAAGAAGAAGAAGAAGAAAGATTCATCTAATTAGCCACATCTGTGGAAGCCCTGCACTAGGACATTCGCCACAGTGTGAGATTGAACAAAAACAACAACAACAACAACAACAACAACAACAACAACAACAATTCTAACAGCAACAGCAACGTTGAATAGGCCACCTCAGATCAAACACTGGATCGAGCTTTCATTATCTCCTCATGTTTTACACCTTCAGCTTCCATTCATCCAGTGTAGCGAAATCAAATTACTTACATGCATGCGTGAACCACGGCTTGTTAACGGCACCAACCAGTCAAATCTAGAGATTTGATTACCTCTGCAATTGAAATCAAAGGAATTTTGCAGTACTTCGCATTGGATGGATCATATCCATTGCATGCTTTTATCCTACAGTTTTCCAAGAAAGCTTCACGTTTTCATTTCATTTTCAGCCGATTAATCCTGACATTTTTAGAGGGCCCCTGACCCCTTTCACTTAATTGGTCTAATCTTTAGTTGCAATGAAACTAGAAGTCTCTGTTTATTAGGCTTCTGGTGAGTTAAAAGAATACTCTTTTGCTGGCATTGCTTCTTGGCTACAACATTTTCCCGTCAGTATTTTTCATATGCTCAGCAACATCTGCAGGATGTGAAAAGCAAAGAAACAAACCAGATGTTGCAGAAGGTAGCGACACTAAAAGAAACAGATTTTTTGTCCATCATCTGCCTTTATATGTTGGTTACTCCAACCGGAGAGAGAGAGAGAGAGAGAGAGAGAGAGAGAGAGAAGGAGAGGGCTCATCTAAACTCTCAAAACGAAAGATTCATAATGCTTTGTAAAAACTGACACATATTCTCATTAAAGCCAAATTTCCTTTAGCAATTTAGGGGGAGGGGAATAGATTAAGGAAATGTGGATGTTTATCACAACCATCAACGTTTATTCATTTAGGTAATTATCACTTAATTAGGCTGTCAAAGGGCAGGGGAGACTTCAGCACTGACAAACCCATCACCAGGAAAAGTCCACCACTTCTCTGCTGCAAAGGATTTGTCTCCTCCTTGATATTTCTCCGCCAAGCTTTTGGTAAAATGACGATTTGATGGGGAGTGGAGATCAAAAATTACGCAACTGAAATCCATCAGTCATAGTTCACACTGTCAAGAAGTCTCTGCCTGGTACAACAGTGCCCCCAAAAGCAAGCAATCCGTAAAACCTTGAAACAGAACACCCTCTAAGCGAATCTTGGACTGCACAAAGTTCCAGGCTGCCTTTCAAATGCGAAGTAGCTATTTTAAGAGCCACTTTCCAGATTAAAAGATGCCTTACAGGCTGCCGAAGAGCAGGCGGGGCTCTGAAGGGAAGATGAGAGCCTCAACTGGATGCTGAAAATTTTCCAGCAATTTTAGCTCATACTGAAGGAATTTCGCAGACGGATCATGAAAACCACACACAATCCCTACCCCCAACCCTGGAGGACTCT